GGACCCGCGGCGGCTCGCACTGCTCAATCAGGAATAACCGCAGCCGTGCGGCGGATTCGGCATCCTGGGCGAGATTCGACGAAGAATCGGGAAACAACGAATTGGTCGTCATGACGGACCCCCCTTTCCCATCCGTCAACGGCGGGCAAGGTAGAGAAATGGTTGAACCCCAGGAAACTAAAGCCTTCTGCTTGGTCCGGCTCAGTGATTGAACTATGTAATCGGCACCTTCGCTCCTCGATCGATGTTTGCTAAACCGCTTCGGATTCAACCAACATACACCCTTTAATGAAGAGGGAAAAGGCGTAGTAAAGGGCATGTGCATTCGAAAGTTTTATCAGCATTCGTTCGGCATTCATATAGATTTGTTCGAGAGTAACACAACACGAAACACAAAGATGAGTTTACGTGCCAAGGAACAAGAGGTATTTACAACATAGAAGTTGGATATTGCAATATATCTATATTTATATAGATAGACATCGATATAGATATAGGGAAAAGAATTTAAAATCCAGCAAACAGTCCATTCCCTATGATGTTAGGGATTTGTAATACTCCTCCCACTCGTTCTGGTTCTGCGAATGCGATGATTCATACATTTCAAAAAGCTGCTCCTGACGAATTTCCTCTTCCAACGCCAGAAGATACTCGATGACGACCGGATCCCTCACATCGAGGCCAAATTCCTCACCAAAAGTGGTCCAGTCGTCCCCATTCAGTGGAACTCCTGAGGACAGCCTACACTTATCCTCCTCGTTCTCGCATTGGTTCGACGACACGAGACCAAACTCACTATTTGTATTCTCACCACTGCTCCGAGCAGCGTTTAAGTAGGTATGGCGTGTCGCTTGCTGCCGCTGTTTTTGTTTTTCAAGAATACGTTTTCTGATTGCGGAACGTTGAACGTGGAGCACCTTGACACTCTCACATCTTTGCGATGATCGCGTGGGAAAGGCATCCATATTTTTCTAATAAAATAAAAATAAAGCCACTCGTGTTGTTCACACCTATTCTCTACTTTGAGTTGTGTAAGGAAAAAATAATAGGAAAAGAAGCGTACAATTCATGAAATGGTAATACAGAAAAAAGCTAAAATATTTCTGGGAAACAAAAGCTTTGAAATGCAAACGAAACAATTAAGGCTCGAAAATGGGTACATGAACCTAAAGTTAACAGAGCTATTGATGTTAAAGGCAAAAAAACGGAAAACAAACAAATATAACCATATACATTTGAATAAGCAAAAGAAAAAAATGAACATTGCTTTAGGGTTTAATCAAAAAAAAGTTGCCAAAATTCAAAATTTAGATCCATTTCACCTCAGGCGTCTGGGAGAATCACCCCACCTAACATATGATCCAATGGAAGTCGACTAACATGTTCTGCAATAACGCCCTGTCTTGGCTGTTCCGGGAGCAGCACTCCACCGCGTAGGTGATCGACAGGAATATAGTCCGTATACCCACGGATCCGACGAGACTCCTTCATATAATGCCGCGACAGAGCAGTGTAAACGAAACCTGGATCCCCGTAGGGACTCTCCCGAAGACCTAAGGCCCCACGCGGGTAGTGTTGAACACATTTTTGGCAGAGTCTATTTTTATCTATCAAAGCCTTTGACTTTTGTGATCCGGAAAGATTATCCGAAGCCTTGACGACGAGGTCATTTGAGGGGCTCTGCGAGGAAGTTCCACCAGAGTGGGAAGGGAACTCGAAATCGGCATCGTCCTGCGCGTCCGCTTGATCAGACCGATCTCGCCGAAACCTCAAAATCTCTGCGGCAGAGCGTTTGGATGAGCTCTGGTTGCTAGCAATAGGGGATGGCCCCCCCTGCCATTCGACGCAAAACGCCGGGAGGGTTAAGCGCGGCTCCATCTCGCGAGAGTTCCGTGCGCATATCGCTCCTTTCACTCGAACATTTTCTACTGGAGGGAGTTGAGATGATTCATTCCTTGCTGTGTTATCATCAAGTCTCTTTTTTGCAGAGAGGTGTTGATCGATAATTTTTATTGCCCTAACCACAGAAATCGGCATCTTGTCGGAGCACTGGAGCAAGAAGCGAATTCGCAAGGCAATAGCCCTTCTTAAGTTTGTTCTAGCCAAAAGAAAAAAAATAAGAAAAGGTTAACATTATATAATGCTTAGATACAATCAGTGAACCATAAACAACCGTGGATCACGGGGAAAATGAGGGGGAGCTTTAGATTTGAAAACCGTTAAGTAAAGCATGAGCAAGGCTATGAAAAGGAGGTGAAAGTTTGAAATAGCAGCAGTTATCTAAAAAATATAAAACATAGCATCGGGCACACAACAAAAAAAAAAAGTTTCACAAAATGATCTACACTCACACCTATATTTAATGAACCCTGAGTAAGAATTCACCCCTCTCCAAAAAAAAAAGGAGAACAGATGCCTGTCTATAGGAAATAGATTATTTTGAAACATCTTTTCGCGCTTCAAATATTCTGAAAATCTAGGAAAAGGTGCTCTCTTGGTGTGTATTTTCTTTTTGCAATACCCGATTGGGTTAAGAATTATAAACGTATGAATTTGCTATGCAGGGCATGAATCGCTATTCAAGAACATCAATGATACCTTGATCGGAGATGCTATAGGTGCATTCCAGCTCTGGCAAGGATGGACTATCGTAAATTTTGCAGATCCGTTGGTCGCCACGTCCTTTTCGAAGTGAAAGTCGCGTTGTCGAGGCGTGCGCGAGCACATGGCCCCCTATTGGCTTCTTTGGATCGGCCACAAACATGGAAGCGCCTCCGGGATCCGAGACGACCTGGTTCGTGATGTACACCGCCACGTTGAACTCCTCGGCGATTTTTAACAGCTGGCTCATCATCCGACCGAGCTTCTGCTGACGCTCCGCCAGCTCGCCGCGGCCGCTGAAATCGACGCGAAAGAGCCCGGTGATGCTATCCACGACAAGGAGGCTAAACGGCTCCTCCGCCATCTTCGCGGCGACCATGGAAAGCAAGTGAAACTGATGCTCGTGCGTGTACGCGCGGGCGACGAGGATGTTGTCGAGAATCGCATCCGGATCGAGGCCGAAACGCGCCGCGATCGGGCGGATCCGCTCCGGTCGGAAAGTCCCCTCGGTGTCGACGTACACCGCCTTGCCGTTCCCACCCCCCATCCGAGTGGGGAGCTGACAAGTAACGCATAAGGTGTGCGCGATCTGCGTTTTCCCGGTACGAAACTCCCCAAAAGCCTCCGTGATGGAGCGGCTTTCGATGCCGCCCGCGAGAAGCTGATCGAGCGCAGAGCTGCCCGTCGTGATGTGCACCACCAGCGCCCGCTGCTGCAAGCACTCGGTGCCTGTGATGAAGCCAGAATCAACCAGCTTCCGCGCGGCGTCGATGATCTTGTCAATTTTAGATTCGGACAGCCCTTTAATAAGCACGAGATCTTTTTTGCATTGCATTTGGATCCCAGGGACGGTGTAGATGCCGGCCTGTTTTAGTTTCGCGATATCCGCCGCGCCGATGCCTTGCTCGGTGAGGCGGTCAATCTCACAAAGAAGCGGTCCCACCTCCGCGGCAGCCTCGAAGGCCTCCTCGCTGACATCCGCAGCAGCGGCGTCCTTCTCGATTTCCGACTCCGCATGTCTTCGACTCAGCTGCTGCATTCCGAGATACCCTCACGTATAAACGTCGAATCAGACGTTTTCAGAAGCGGATAGGAAAATAATCTAATGCGTTGCCTCACTTCACAGACAACAGAGCGCGACGAGGTGCGGTTGGAATTTTTCGACACTAGTCCTGTTATGTGTGTGTTGGTGATTCTGTGTGACTATGTGTGTAGTCTTTTCGTTATCACTTGTGTAGTAAAGATAGAATATTGTGCACAGCAATAATAGGAAAAATAATCAATTCAAAAGGGCTTCTCAGAAGCTAAGCCTGCTAGCCAGATCGGCCTTTCTGCCATTAACTTTTTATTCTGTTCCTATACCTACTTATATATATATATATATATATATAAGTTGATATGTTAGATTAATACTTGGCATATACTCTATTTTTTATTAGCATATTATTAGGATAACTTTTTCCATTTCAACACGTTATCAGGCCACTTACGTAAGACGGATTAGAACGATAGAGAATTAAGCAATAATGGTTAGGTTGAAGCTATCGATTTGTGGACTTTCCTAGGAAATAAATAAAATCTCTATCTTTCTCAATTAGAAATAAATGAATTCATATATATATATATGAAGGTAAAAAGCCATGACGCACCAATCACAGTGCTCTACACATTATACTGTCTGTTGCGACATCATGTACAACAAGTCGAAAAACTTTTGCGCGTATACGTTGACAATAGGTGGCATGAACGACGCAGATGTCAAAGTTGTTATCTTCAGGCGCATATTACTAAATGCCGCCTGCACATATCGATCATAAACATATCGGGTCTTAATATACTGAATATAAGCCAACGTAAAGAGGGCCCCCGAGGTCAGCATAACAGAAATAACCGCCATCGTCTCGAACGACGCAGCAATCAACAAAAGATGGTAACGATTCGCCTCAGCACTGTTAATGTAAGGCAGGATTATATTCTGGAAACGTCCTGCCCACGCCAAAATCCTAGACTTGTGGTTCGAAAGATCAACTATATCGTAAATAAGCGAGAACGACCCGAAAAATAGCTGTGGTGGAACCTTTAACAGTAACGCGGTAATACTGACAAGAAGCATGAGTGAGGAAAACTGACGCGCCCAGGTCTGAAGGTCGTCCATTTTGTGAGGAATCAAACCTCGTGAGTACAGATTGACCCCATGCTGAACGATGAGCGCGCAGATGAGGGTGTGCCAGAAGAAGTTCATCAATACCGGCCTCAGGATGCAGCTGAGGCTAAATAAAAGGCTAACAAATAAGACTATTACCGCGAGAGCCGCACCGGCGTCGCTCGGCGGCGCTGAGGTGAACTCCCCTCCAGCAGGGGGTGGGAGAGGAGCCCCATTCATCATCACATTGGGAGCCGTCGACGCCGATGGAGGGGTGGATCGGTAAGACGAGCGTTTTGCCTCCAGCAACTCCTCCAGAATTTTCAGACTGTTCTTCACCCCTTGGTTGCTTGAGTCCAAGCTTAACGCAAGCTTATACTCCGCGCTGGCTTCCTCGAGCTTTCGCTGAGCCCATAACGCGGTCGCTACGCGAACGTGCGCCTTAACAGTGTCCTTTATCGATATCGACTTTTTTGCATCTCGAATAGCTTCATCATAATTCCTCAACTCTTGGTGCGCAGCAGCACGGTTGCTGTAGTAAATAAAGTTCTCCGGGTCATGCTCAATTGCCTGAGAGTATAGAAGAACGGCATCCTCAAATCTCTTTTCGGCGAATGCCTTGTTACCGTTCAACTTGAACTCCTCGGCAATAGAATTTGACATCTTATTCTGTTAAATAAATATGAACTGAAAAAAGATTTATCTATACTTATCGTTTTGTCTACCTGTGTCACGTAAAGTTATAAAGACTCTTAGGACTTTTCAATTATTCCCCGTGTTATTCTTAAAAAGGACTTCAAAGAGCATATAGATGCACTTGAGCATATCAAAAATTACATGATGGAACCATTAGTTTTGCAATCAGATAAAAAAAACGCACCGTGAGACCAATGGCCTACAGTATTTGTGAAATTGTCTCTCATGAATGGTCTTTAACTTGAACTTCAAAAGAATAAACCCAAACTAATTGAGTGTTGTTTCTACATGTATTTTTCGTTGTAAGCACTGAATGAATCTCAAAAATTTACATCACAAATTGGAATAAATTCACTTTTAAACAAAAGAGGGTTCAAAAATTTTACATTTTGAGTCCCTACTGTACAATGATTCATTGTTCAAAGAATCAAAGAAGTACGCGCCAGTAACGGATCGGGCACCTTCTTATTACGTCTATTTTGAAGTACCTCTTTGTGCTTGCCTAATAGATGGAAGGCTCGTGGCTGTGCGTTGGGTCGTGGTGTCCGCCGCTACAACGGGTTTCCTTCCAAAGAGTTTGTTGTAATTTTCCTCTCGATTAATAAGCTCAAGTTTGTATACCTGCAAATCATGATGGGCCTTTTTGAGTGCCTTATCCTTTTCATGATTAGACATTGTTAATTGGTTGATAAGATTGACATCCTCAGGGCGGGACTCACGGTAGTTGTACTTATGTTGAAGCTCCTCATAGCTTTCATTCATCTGCGCGACGAGCATTTCGTGGGCCCGTCGCTCACTCTCGAACTCGAGAAGCGCCTTATCCGACAGTCGTTTGTGCTCACAAACGAGCAGATTGAGCTGCGCGTTGTGCTCATCCTCGACGCGCTGCATCGCCTCTAAGTGTTCCTCCCGCATCTGAGCGAGGGTGTCTGCGGCCTCGGACCGCTCCCGTTGAATCTGCGCGGTGGCATCGCTAAGATCGTTTTTTACCGCCTGCAGCTGCCTGTGAAGCAGCTCCACCTCGTGCGTGGTGCTTTTCAGCATTTCCGTCGCGTCTGAGAGCTCCCGCGCGTAGCCGGAGATGACGCCATCTTTCGTGCTCCGCAGCTCCTCCAGTTGGTCATTGAGCTCCGCGGTGTGTCGCGCCTCGAGCGCGCGGAGCTGCTTCTCCGAGTCCACCTCCACGGCCTCCAGACGCGCACGCCACGCCTGATCCTCCCGCTCCATTCGCTCCGCGGCCGCGCGCTCGAGCTGCTCCACCCGCCTCGCGTGCTCGGCCGCCGCGTTGGCGAGATCCTCCCGCATTTTTTGCAGCGCCGTCGCGTGCGTTTGCCGCTCACGCGCGAGTTCGGCGGCGCGCGCGAGATCGGCCGCCTCCTGCATCTTTTTTAGAGCGGCCGCGTGCTCCCCTTCGCGTTGCTGTGCGGCGGCGTAGAGGCCGTCAAGGGTCCCTTGAAGCTGCCGCACCTGCTCTTGAGAATTCGATTTATCCTGCTCCCCCACCGCGCGAAGGTGGTCGAGCTCGGATTCGAGGTTTTTCAGCCTCTCCGAGAGTCGGCCTTGGAGGTTTCCGGCCTCCGTCTTGGCATGCTCCAGCGCCTGATGCGCCTCCATGCGGAGCTTTTGCAGCTCCCGTGCGCTCTCCTGGCTGGACGACGCGAAGCGTTGCTCGGCAGCTTCCTGCAGCTTTTTCAGCGCCTCCACATCCTTCCGACGCCGCTCTTCAGCCTCGTGCAGAAGTCTATCGGTGTTCTCCTCAATCTGGCATTTTTCCTCATTGAAACGACGTATCAGGGCCTCTTTCTCGACCCCGAATTGGGCTTCCTGCTCCCGCAATGCCCGTCGGACGTCATCGAGGTCATTCGCGCCCTGCATTGTGAGTGACGCCACCTCCTCTCGTAATCGGGTGATCTCCGCGTCGTCTTTTCGCTGCTGTTCCGACGCCTTATCCTGGTGGCGGTGATACTCCACCTCCAAGTCGTTGTATTTCGCCTGCATGGCATCCCGCTCCTGCTGAAGTGTGCTCTGCTGTACCTGCAGAGCATCCTTCTCCTTCTGGACCTCCGCAAGCCTATTCTGAAGGCTGGCATACCGTTGATCGCTTTGTTGCTCCAAAAGCGCAGCTCGGCTTTGCTGGGCCGCTTCGCTTTCTTGAAGCTGCTTGCGAAACCCTAGCTTCATCTCCTCCATTTCCTTTTGACAGCGCTCCAGCACCGACGCGGCGGACTCCTTAGAGCACTGCTCAGCACGCCTCAAGGCCTCCTCATGGGACTTACTGAGGGCACGCATAGTCTCCGCGTTCTGCGATTTGAGGGACTCCATTTCCTTCTTAGCTTCCTCTAATGCTGACTCTAACTGAGCAATACCCGATTTTTTATCCTGCATAGAGGAGGAGAGCAATGCACGCTGCTTCTCCAACTCATCCGTCATGGAACGCAGCTCCTCATACTGTTTACGCAGCTCTCTTAGATCCCCCTCAGCTGTGGCTTTCTGCGCCATCGCAACCCCTAAATGATTCTTCACATTAACACAATCAGAGGAAAGCTTCTCCGCACGCCCCTGAGTTTCTTTTAAACTCTGCTGCGCTTTTTCGAGCTCTTGAGTGACCTCCGATTTCTCCTTTGTCATGAGTTCTAGTTGCTTTTGTAAGCTTTCCTCGCTACCCTTCGCCATGTCTAAGGTTTCACCTATCCTACTCAGCTGCCGTTCAAGCTCTTTATTTGCACTTTCCAGCTCCCGTTGGCGTGCCTCCTGATGTGATAGCCGCTCCTTGGCGCCACTCAGCTCCCTTTCTAAAGTGCTCGCTTTACCCATCTCAGATAGCAGTTGCTTACTTTTGGCACCCAGCTGGGCATCGGATGCACTTTTTGCGGAATCCAGCTCTTGCTGGATGGTCTTCACCTTAAGTTCCCACTCCGCACGCAGTTGCTTTTCCAGCGCGTCTCGGATGTCCATCTGCTCCGCAAGCATGGACTTGTAGCGCTCATTGTACTCCTTTACTAAACCGGCAACCTCAAAATCTTTCGCATCCCGAAGCTTGCCCAATTCCTCCTGCTGTGCAATGGAGGTTTCCTCTTGAACCTTCTTCAATCTACGTTCATAGTTCTCCTTTGCCGCCTCTGCTGCTGCAGTGATCCACTGAAGTTTCTCAGCAAACGCCTCTCGAGCCTCGTTTAGAGAGGTTTGATAATTCGCCTCCATAGTGCGCACTGCCTGGATCTTGTTGGTCTCCGCCTGTTTAATTTTGTCAGCCGCAGCTCCAATCTGCTTTGCACACTCCTGTTGCATGCGTTGCATCTCATTTTCGTGGCATTGTACGAGCCACTTCGTTCGCTCCTCATTGTCTTCATTCCGGCAGTTAAGAGTGTAGACAACTTTGGTGAGTTGCGCTATCTTTTTGCACATTTTAAAGTCCCAACCTTCGGCCAGCGCCTGCGGCGAAGCCGAGGCCGGTACGACCTTAGCAGTCATAATGAAAGGATACACTAACAGAAAGGCAAGGAAAAAAAACCAAAACGAAACAAAACCACTTCGATACAAATTCGCGCTCTCAAGCAAGTTTCCCTTTGAGAATGTGTGCTAAAGTCGATTCCTTGCAGTGAGGTGTGAAATTGGAGTATATTTGTGTATGAAAAGAAAGTACCTTCGTTACGCAAACACGAAAGGGTAAACGAAATGCATACAATAACAAAAATGGTAAAGCAAACTAAACAAAGGACAAAGAAGAGAAATACGGAAAATCGGATGTGTCTAACAGGCAACCAACAAGAATCAGAAGAAGATCTTAAATATCTCCGCTTTTTTTTTGTAAACGATATCAAGAATGATTTAGGAAAATGTTAAATTATAAGCCTAGTAAAAACTAAACAATCTCCAAATCAACACATCGTTGATAAGATGGGTTTTTTATTGGTCTTTGTTATTACTATTACGCCGTGAAAATCAACCCCTGCCTGACTGCCCCACTGTGGATATCGTATTGGCAGTTGAACATCATGTGGAACTGGTTCATACCGCGCATATCTCCACCAAAGGGAAGCTCTAAATCAACCCTGAGCTTGTTAAATCCTCTCAGCGAGGCGATCAGCTTGGTTCCAGTCAAGAAATTTTTGCGGCAGCCGATGTTGAAGGAGGTAGCCATGCCCTCACGACCCTCCTTGTATTCGACTTCGATAGCAGCATCCATGTTTTGGCCCCAATCAAAGGACGAAGCCGCCAGACTCCACGTGCCCTTGCTCGGAGTCCACTCCGCGATGAAGGACGCATTCTTCTTCGGTGTCGTGAAGGACACGGCGTGAGAGAGCGCGGAGGCGTGCGTGTTGGGGTCTACATTCAGGCAGCTGCCCAGGTACAGGCCTCGGATGATGCGTTGGACGTGACTCATCGTGAAGGACTGATCCTTGACGTACTGGAACTGCGAGCAACCGCCAGGGAGCCAGGGGTACTGCAGCATCGTAAAGACGGTGCCCCGGCAGAGGCCCTGCTGCTTCTGAGCCATGAACTGCGCTACCCACATCGCGCCCGTCCTGGTGTACCGCTGATACATAAGCTGATACCGGTTTAGCGTATTCCACGAGGCCCCTATGACATCCGAAAAGCCATTCATCTGAAGGTTAATCTCCCAATTCGACATGTTCGGGTTAACAAGGCACCATTTGGTGGCAATTAAGGTGTTCTGCAAGTTGCGGCTGACGTTCAGATTGAGGCCCTCCTGAAATTCGTTGCCCTTCAGAATGCTCTGAATCTTTTGAGAGAGGTTCTCGTAGGTGACCACCTTGTTAGGCATTGGTGGACCCTCTTTTAATGAATCAGCCAGCTTTTTTTCGAATAGCTCACGACGCGCTTGCGCTGAGTCTTCAGTATCCAATGTCTGTTCTGCATCCAAGACCATACGTGCAGATTTCTTAGGCGCCTCTGTTTTCTCTGCCTCAACAGGAGAGCCCTTTAACCATTCTTTCAACATCTTTAGCCTATTTCAGGTGAATTTTACGATTCGATAAATAAAAAATTCGACTATACATTTATTCATTCATCGGGAAAAAAAGGTGATGAAGTGAAAAGCAGAGAAAGGAAGAAAGCAATACGATCGCAGAATTGGTGATGATAACATCAAAAAAAACAAAGATGGCACATGGAGATACATATAAATATATAATGTAATAATTCAATCAGTAATTATCCTTCTGGAATAAATATGTGCGTCTTTGTTACCACACCCTATTCTGTGCTTCTCCATAGCTCTCACCTTTTCAGGTTCCCAATAGTAATAAAGTCATCCAATATCTTAGACTTAACAGGTTGTTTCGCGGTTTATCATTTCAAGTCATTTTTTTCCTCTTCTTCACAATATATATATATAGAGAAATAAATATTCACACATAACCCCCAAAGCGAAGGAAAACCGAGCAATTCGATACAATAAAACGAGTACCAAGAACAATGAAGGATTTCCCTTCTTACCTCTCTTGCTCCTTCGCTGTAGTGCAGAGAACCAATCAAAGTAACACCATTGCAACCGCACAGAATAAAGTTTCCCTACGGCGATCCTTTCGCCTAGATTACACAAGGGGCTTTTAGTCGGCCTCCGCGACGGCCGTGAGCCAATCCTCGACCTGCTCCTTCGAGGCCCGCACCATGCGTTGGTGCTCTATCGAGCAGATCCCCACCTCGACGTCGGAGGCCTTCAGGGACGCACCCACCGCGGTCTGCACCGCCGCCAGGGCGATCATCGCCGCCTCCTTCTGATCGAGCTCGTCAAACGGCTTGCTCTTCTGCCGCTTCTCGAGAAAAGCGAGCGCCTCGACGTCTTTTTTCCCGTTCGCGACGGCGTGGTAGCCGCCCACCCACCCCGCGGGGTCGACGGTGTAGATCCGCGGCACCCACGCCCCATCCTCATCCTGCTGATCCATCCCGATCAGCGTGACGATGACGCCCATCGGGCGGAGCCCGGCCTGCTGCGTTCGCACCTGCGCCTTCTCCCCAATCCGCTTCGCGAGCACCCCGATTGGGATGGGGAGGCCGTAGCGGTATTTATACTCCGACGCCTCCTCGCGCGCGCGTTGCACCATCGCCCGACCATCCGGCGCCCGCCCCGTAACGCAACACCCGACGTGATCGGTGAGGTCGAAGAGGGCGGTGATGGAATTCGGCTTCATCAGGCGATCGGGGACCTGATGTTGGGTGACGACGAGCACCCCATCCCGGTAACGCACCGCGACAGTCAGAAGGCCGGAGTACGCGACCGCCTTGAAGGCGTACTCGACCTGGTAGAGCGAGCCCTCCGGGCTGAACACCGTGATGTACTGATCAAACCCCGCACGACTCATCCTCTTTGGGTGATGAGGCAGTAAGAGAGAAAAAAAATCACCGGGAAAGATGGAAAACCGGCTTGCGAAAGGGAACGGGTCGACGTAAAACTCACGAAGAGGGAGTTCCTGAGGGGAGGCAAGCTAAAAAAAAAGGGGGTAAAAATACGGGACTACTTTTTGCGATATAAAGCTCTCCAAGGTTGAAAAAAAGGAGAGGAGGGAAGAAGACAGGAAGAGGAAATGATGCGATGAGTAGACACGTGTTCAAATTAGGTTTTCAGAAGTGGATTCGGAGGGCGATAGAATTGATATGGTTACCTAGTTTTACAAAAGAAAGAGGCTAATTCTGCTGATCCTTTCTGATCTTTTGACGTGGAAGAACATTTAATATCTTAGTAAAAGTTTATCTGGCTTTCCAATTATGTGCATCGTATTATATTTTAAGATTCCATAAAAACCTATGCTGTTGATTAAAAATGATTCGATTCTATTGACATTCGCCGATCAAATCGTGACAATGACGAAGTTGAATTTCTTAATTTCATGCCGATCACACGTAAAACATAAAATATGCAAAAACACGCATTCGCGTATCTTCTATTCACATACCCACAAACTATCTCACTCCCAAGTCATAAAAAAACATCAAGTATATAGGCCTAGTGCAACTGGAGGAACGCCGCACATTATCCTTTGAGCATTCCCCTAACATACATTTCTACAAATTCGGACACACACACCAAATCATTTGTTGAAGAAGAACACAGCTACAACTATGAATCAATTTCTATTAGGCTTTAAGTCATTAAACAAGTAAATCGGGTGGCCATGCTTCCAAACTTTCCGGATCGAAAAATGTTCCCCCAGCATTATTTAGTATCGATAGAGCAGAATCCAACCACATGCACAGCAAGTCAGCTCTTCTCTTACTAGCACCCCCGCTGACCGTCGTGACGTAACCACGATAATCTGTATAGCATTCCACAGGGCCGGTGAAATCATCATCAAGGTAACCAGGCAATAATGACAATGGAGCGTTATCGTCGTTTTTATTCACGTCGGCGTCCGTTACATTTCGAGTCTGCGAAGAATTCACCCCCACCGAGGCCCCCTTATTAGAAGTATAAACAAGAGAACTACCACAACCCATATTAGCTTCTCTTTCAAAATCCTAATTGGACACGCACAAAAGGAGGAAGGTTTAAAATCACATATCTGGGAAGTATAGTATTCTGCATAAAAAGTTTATACAGCTAGTAATAATTTTATCAAACTTGAAAAAAAAATAGTATTAAGCTAACCGCAGATCCGCGATAAATATATTGTTTGGGCAAAAACAATCAAAACCTTCTAGGCTGTGAAACATCTGAATTCAAACAAACCTGCGATCAGTATCCTAGCGGGAAGCAAAACAGACACTGCTAAGCGTTTTATCCACATGCTAATGGTAATTGTTGCGATAAAATCGTGCAAATACACGATCCCCGTGCTTTTGAATGGAATTTTCGAAGTTATGCCGCAGAGGACCAACGCGGGTCTCCATGGCATTTTTTACAGCACTCGCCTCATTAGTTTGGAGATGCATAGCCCCGCCTGGGGCATTAGAACCGCCACCGCCCGCGGCCACGCTCTGCAGCTGCGATCGGTCACTCGTCAGCCAGTTTCCTGGCGCTGTAAAGTCTTCGTAGTGCTTCTCATGCTTATGCTGTGTAATCTTGAGTTTTTCCAGCTCAACCATGTTTCGGAAGCCACTGAGGCCGTATTGTAGGCTAAAAAGCGCGGCGTAACGCATTTCGAATATTGAAGCGCTGGGCTGCAGCAAGGATTCTTTAAAACGAATAAACTCCTCGACACTGTACTCTGGCCGGAACCAATACGGTTGTCGCAAAAGATGCACACCCTGATTGTAGTGAATCATTTCCTGCAGGACGTGCTCGCTGATAGAGTCTGCGATACGCTCAACGTGAAAGCGAAATCGGTTGTGAATACCGGTACGCAAATCCATGCAGCACGCCGCCGCCGCCACTCCAATATTTGGGGTATCCGCCTTGATAGGGTGTAGAACGTGGAAGCCCTGAACGCTGTAGTCGCCATAGGGCAGTAGGATGATATCCTTCACGACGATGTCGTACTCATCCAGCACGTCTTTGCATGGCGTGTCGTCTTCAATCGTCCAATCGTTCACCAATTTGTCGATGATCCTATCGCGTCGCACGTCAAGAGGAATCTCAGCGGCAGAGAGCGTCAGTTCGTGAATCGCGTCGAGCACATCATCATCGAAAACCGACTCATATCGAGGAAGACTGTAGGAAGCTAGGCAAAAAGTCTCCGGCGCGTATGCCTCCAAACACACAACCCCAAACCCCCTAGAGCCACTCTCAATATTATTCACCCGCTTCAACCGATCGATGGCCTTGTTGACGTCACAGTCCACCTCACGCATCGCCTCAACCGCCTCACCCTCCGATACCCCGTAGCGGCCACATAAAAATCGCACGGTATCCGGATTAACGCAATGCAAAGGATGTGTTCCCTCCGGCATGAGCCCCCCAATAGGCCCCCCTATTACCTGTCGTGGAATGGGTTTGAAGAACGCGACACGGTTGCGCATAATTCCGAAGGAGTCTCCAGGAATCGGTATATCCTCCCCCTCGTTTACGGAGGCGCCGGAGGAGCGGAGCTCGCTGAGAAGCTCCCTCGGTGGCAACCGTTGTTCAAGATGGTCCATCTCCGCTGGGGAAACACTATCAGGGCTGATATGAAACCCACGCCAGGGGGAGTTCAAAAAGGTGGCTGCCGCCACCCCGCAAGCCTCCCTGCGGCCTCGATGATGGAGCAAGCGCCTCATATGTACCTACATATAATTCTTTTAAAAAAAACTACAAAGAAAGCGTCGACCCCTCAAGTAAGCAGGAAAGAAGAAAAAATAAATGTTTTTCTCGAAAGAGAAAACTTTAAGGTAACAATAGATTTGATCTCACACACAAAAACTGATGGACAACATTACCCTTATATATATAAAAAGTATCAAAAATATTTGGCAAAAGGTGACAAAAATTAAAAAAAAAATCAGAACGAAATGTAAATAAATTTATAAGCTGCTAATAATGCCACAAACTTTGAAATTCGTTGCATTGTTAACATTTAATTATTGCGGCCAAAAATCTTAAAATAATTATATATTTTTTGACAAGAGCACACTCGGAAGCACACCTTTACAATATTTAAAAACCATTTTCTGGGGTGTGGCCCATCCCCTACTTTTACCATGTCTTCTGCATAAGCCTATGACAAAAAGTTTCACAAATTAAAACGATCATCATAAGCAGCATTGTATCTTATTCAATTTATAAAATACTAATATGAATCTATTATTTGAAATCCTAACATTTAAAGTAGAAAAGTGAACAGTCTAAGACCGCCTTATTAAAGCATTCATGCAAAATTTTTGTCCATTTCACCCTTTTTTGAAATATTCTAGAAAGTTAAGAGCCGCTGTGGACTTTTTTTTGATATCAATATCTTATATAATTATGCATTATCATGAAAAAGTGCAAAAGAAACTAGGATGGTAGGAAAGTAGCATCGCCAAAAACATTAATACTACTATCCCAAAGAATGTCTTCACAATGCACGTTATCGAAAATATCGAATATACAAGCAATGGTTGAGTGCATCCCACGTCTACAAATGACTTGAAGCAAAGCAGTCTCACCACATAGAAAGGGTAACATTATCAAATACTATCATGAGTTTTCTATGCTTTAATGAACCCCTTATAAAGCGGATTAATAGAATTTTCATCAATAACTACTTCACCTGATGACACGTTACGGATTAAATCAAATGCTACGACTGCACAATTTTCCATCGTACATTTTTTGGCAATATGCGAAGAGCTGCGTGGCAGGAAGCGGCGGAAAAATTGAAGGAAGAATAAGCTGTGTCCGAAAACAATGATTTCCTTCAGATCTTTAGCTCCACGCTCCCCTGCTTCAGCCGGAACGATGGTGCCACCAAAAATGTGAAGCAAGAAATCATCCGTACGAGCGTCCACATCGACTCCGAGAGGCTTATTTCCTTTATTTAGGTGGGCGTCAAACATGTTTTGCACCTTCTCAGGGTCTTCGAACCCTGGGAAGGTGAAAGGTGCGATTTTCCCACTTTCGGTCGAAAAGGACTGCGTGTCAATAAAACCAGATCCTTCCTGCAATGCAGAGTCTACCACGATTTTCTCCCCCGTCAAGTTGAGACGTGGGCTAAGTCCAATGAGTGCGGTCTGCATGGTACGACGCAGATTGCTGCAGAGTACCACGGAGGTGGTGGTATCGCACGTGATCTTTCCTTCTGCCCCTCGCACGAAATTCGCGAGATCCTTAGCCTGCTTAATTCCTTTAGCGCTCAGAGGCGTGTCAATGAACTGCGAATCGAGCGGCCTGGTGAAGAAGTACTTTGCCTCGAGGATGAGGGCACGCACTATGCGAATGGGTAAGCATATGGTCATCTCGCTGTAAACGGAGTTCCAAACGGACTGGCCGTGACGAATGAACAGGATCCGAATCTTTTGCGTGCCATTGTTCTCTGGACGCATCGTACCTGCGCGGATGAAGTTACTCCGGTGAGACTCGTGCGGGATGTCTTTGTTCCATATCAAGTACTTCAGGCTGTCCTTGTATTTATTCAACTTATATGTAAAGGCGTGGAAAGCTGGTGTAACTGCGATCGCGACGGCTAAAAACAGTATCAAGATCACGAAAAGAAACATGATGAAAATTATAAGAATTGAAAAGATGATGTTAGTTGGCTTACTTATTTACTACTGAGGTGCTCTACAAGATAGAAGTAGGAGGATCAGAAAGACAACAATGAACAACGGCATACCCTTCGTTGTCATGAAAAGAAAGTATTTTAACATGAGGAATAAATGTCTTGCTGACCTTAACAAAAAGTAGTCATAAAACAAACTACAGAAGTATGTGCATATATATATATATATATATATATAGTGCGTATTTTCCTTTTACTTTGTGCTGATAAGATACCGCTTGAAATCTCTCTTCATGCTTTTTTTTTGAAATGTTTCCATGAGTTTCGCTGTTGGGACATACATACCACATGCAGGGATCGCTTCTCCAACCATAAAACAATCCTCCAGCCAATTGGATTGGATCAGCTGAACCGTAGGAAATGCAGAAGATTTCAAATAGGCAGCGGCGATCATAAAGTCCGACTTCTTGTCTTCATGGGCGTAGATGACATGCGTGAAGCCCGATCTAAGGGCCTGTTCGAGGTTCTCACAAGGACTCATGACAGTGGCTCCGCAGGCCTGCAACGCCTTCAATACAGTCTTATTTTCTTCCAAAGAAGGCGATAGGACAATCTTGATACCAGTGAAAAGAACTGGGCTGATGCTATTGTTTTGCTGCATAGATTTAATTAAGTGAATTTCAGTCTTGCCTTTCCGTGATCCCGTTACGCGGTTCTCTTTGCTAATGTTTTCAGCACCATTTGTGCTGCTCGCGCGCTGCGCACAGGCGACGACTGCATCGTACACATCTATGTTGGTAAAACGTGGAGGTTTTATATCGAAAGTGGGAGGCAAGTTCGCCCCTGAGACTGCTCGCAAGTGGAGCCTTGAACTAAAACTAGCGTTCCTCGACGTCGCATTTGATTCTGCAGACGAATTTGCTGCATGGTTTGATGGAATCGATGTCGGAATCATGTAGTCCATCTTGTTTAGATGGTAATATGGGTGATTATGATGAGGAATGACGTTACCACTCATGGAAGCGTTTGCCACAGCTGGAATGGTAGTGAGGCGGTATAGTCCTAGACGAATCTGCCTCGATTGCATCAACGATTCCATCATCCACGTAATCGGCACCGCGGGGATGTGTGTGTGGTATTCTACACATAAACGAGTCTTCTCACTGCGCTCGTAGCCCTGGCGGTAGACAAGCAAATTCACAGTTACCGGGTCGAACTTAGGGATGCAGACGGCCCCATGCCTCTCTGCCATGCGCCATTCGATGGAATGACTTGGATGTATAAGCGTACGCGGAATCACACCATTGAAGTGAATCGCATATCCGGCGAAGATTTGCGGCACACCGCGGCGATCCATCGGGCGGGAGTAAAGACATATGTGGCAGTAGGTCTCCTTGACCGGATGGGAATGACTACATATCGAGCAGGTCCACGTTTCGTTGGTGGATTCACCCATTTCTAAGTCGTCACTTCGCATACCACGAACCTCCAGGTGTTTGTAGTATTAACGAGAATTTTTTTTGATATACAAAAACAATACTAGTATAAGTTGCAATATCTATATTTATATATAGAGATGCAAACAAAAGAGCAGGAAAAAATATATAGAAAGGAAAAAGCATTCTCATTCATGGAATTAGATGAAACATTGATGGTAAGTGGAAATAAAAGGATACAGACGAAGGAGCTAACTTTGTATTTCCTTCTGTATTTCTTAACCACACACTATATGTATTTTTTTTTGTTTATCCCGCTTTAGGAAGATGATGCAATGCGATCTGTTTGATGTTATGTGCCACGCACTGGCGCATAGACGCATAACATGCAGCAAAAAAAAAGGAGTCGCAAACATTATGGATAATGTACATATGTAGTGAGACATTAATACACATAACTTCGATACTAGTGAAAACTGAATAGCAATAGTTTTGGGAAAAAAGGAGGGAAAGAAGCAGTATAAAGAACAGCTGGAAACTGGAGAGGTAAATCTACACGTAAATCTCACTTATCCTTTTCCCCGATTACACTACTATCGCGAAGCTTCGAGGAAAAGTGTAGGCTCTATTGTATCGGGGGCAGTGGTCTCCCTTTACTAGGAAGTGAATAGCCCTTTTGCGTGATATTTCTTAGCGATTTCGCTGGCATCGGTCGCCATTTGAGAAGCCGTTCCATGATCAGGCGCTCTGAAGTTTTAAAAGCGGCAAGCGGCGGCTGCAAATCAGAACTCTGAGTTTCCCTCTCATATCTTAGTCTCTCCTGCACTATCTTTTCCTGGAGCTCCTCTTCGGCTTTCTTGCGCTGGGCACCAAACTCCGTGATGTTATTGATCAACGCTCGCTCTTGGCGGCGCAGGGAGCCAAGCTGACGCTTGGAGGCCAAAATCTGATCTTGGGTTTGGCCAATTTCACGTAGTACCGCCTCCATGGCCTGATCCCGAGTAGATAAAATAACCACCTCACCGGAGCCATTCTGCAATTTTTTAGAGATAATATCCCGCTCCTCATCGGATGTGAGCATAAAGCGACACATCCGGCGCCTAGAGTAAGCCTCCAGCTGCTGCATTTCCGTGTGGTAGGTCTCAAAACGGAAGGCAACACGAATATCCGAAAGGTGCGTGTGCCAGGGTTCATTGCTGATAGACGAGGACATAAACCAATAGTTACCAATTGCCTCCCGTTTAAAGTCATTGCTAAAACCAGACTGCAGGACCGAGTTCCGCGCGATCTCGCATAGATCGTTCGGACTCAGACCCCACACCCGCGCCGCGATACTGTACTCCTCAATGAGCGGCTCCTGAGTGTGGTGAAACATCATCGGATCATCCGTGCTGAGCGAAACGTTTAGGCCTCGGCGGAAAAAATCCGGGAAAGGATTGTTCAAAAAACGCAAAAAGAGGGCGTTGTTGCTAAGGGGTGATACATGAAGACCGATCTGCGCGAGATAATACAAATATTGCATCGGTGGGTCGTTCCGGAGGTTGATTCCATGGCAAATGCTGTTAGCGCAGAGAAAGCCTCCGTAAAGGTGCTCGTTCGCGCCAGACTCACCACAATGCGGGCGAAAGGAAAAAGTAGTGAAGCCGCGAGAGGCTCGAAACTCATTTAAGGTGCGTAAATTAGCGTATAAATAGTACAGATAGTAGCAATATGGCGGGTTCTCAATCGAAGTCCATGACCAGGGTGAGGTTAATGTAAAGGAAAGATCAAGGGTCGCCTCATTATCAACCGAGTCGAAGCCGCTTACGTGCTTGAGAAAGTTGTGCAGCATCGGGTGCTCCGATGGGTGCAGTGAGGCTTCCCATAGCGGTTGAAAAATGTTCTGGAGGTATTGTCCGAAGCTACCAATTACATTCTGCCCGCGAAATACCTTGTACACACGTGGCACCTGAATAACCCACTTGTTGTGCTTATTGTTCAGCCCATAAGTTGAAAACCAATTTGAGAGCTTTTCCCACTCATGAATATTTATGCCGTATACCGAGACGCGATTTTCGGCGTACGTGTATTGATCCTTTGAGTACTGGTTAAACACGTCGTGAATAATCTCAGCGAAGTAGCGTCCATTCATAAAATTGTCTGTCTTGAGAAGTAGCGAGCGGAGATCGCTGTTATCCATGGGGTTGTACTTGTTGTTGAAGTTGTCAAAGCGTTCAAATAAGGTATGATCCGCCTGGACGCTTAGCTGATCGACAGACAGGCTATCCGTGATGCCTGCTTTCGCGAAAAGCTGGCCAAGCGTCACGATGTCATCACCTTTCTTCATGGCAATGTCGTCCGCACTTCCGTGAAATTTCTTCAGCACGAATTTAAGGATTTGCTTCGGGGTCATCCCAGCAGCCATGTGGATGTGAGTGTCAACTTTGGTAGCCTGATAAATATCGCGGTTGCAGGACGCCCGCTCCTTTGTCTTGCCGGCCTCGTTCGCATGGTTAAGGGCAAGGTGGAGGCGAAACTTGTGGTCGAGATTCTCCAAACGCTTGTGGGTGAACTCCTTGACCTCGGCAGATGCGCAGATCTCCTGTAGTTCACGGAGATCGGCGTGGAAAGTTTCAAGGGTTGGCAGCGAACGTGGCCAGGCATGGACGGCGTTACGTGGAAAGGCAATAAACACTGCATCACTCCCAGCAAAGACCCATTCATCCTCGTTAAAGGTGTCCGTCTTACGCTGGAAGTCCTCCTCAAGATCGCGGTTATCCGGGTTCACCTCCCATGGATTAGGTCCCTTCCAGATGTACTTATGCCGCAGGTCCAGCGCGCGGGCGATTCGGGAAGCAGCAGTCACTGCCGCATGACTTTTCTTCAACGATCCGCTCAACACGATGCGCGGGAAGCGAACACGAGAGTCCAGTACGGCGTTGTATTCAACTTCTTGAACATTGCTCAGGAGATGCCACCTCATTAGTTCCTCTGAGCTTTCACGCACGCTACCCATATACAAGTCGCGCATCATATCGCGCTCCAATTGCCAGGCTTGTTCGCGAAAGTTCAACCTCACATTAGTGACCTGGCTCTTCGCGAAAACGTTTCCTTTCACACCTAAATCGTATCCGTCGCCTAGCCATTGCTGTTTGGTCGTATGTGGAAAGGAAGAAATAAGAACGCTATTATGAGCTAACTCCGTCATGTCAAGCGCACTCAACCGAAAGATCTTCTGCGACGTGGCGTACTCCTCAATGAGCGGATTAGGATTGTGATGGTAGCGCAGCGGTGCCTCGGTTGCAATGGATACCTTCAAGCACCGATGCAGGAAGTTTGGGAGCGGGTGCTGCCGATACGAAACAATGCCGCTAATGTGGTCGCTGAGTGGAGATAAGGTGAGCCCTACACCGTGCACACCACACAAGTATTGTGCGACTGGGTAGCAATGAAGCTTAGTGGCCCGTGTGATAAGGTCGCCAACCATGTATCCCCCTATAACGTCATCCACGCCGCCGCGATGGCCAGCACTGCACCGAAGTTGAAAAGTATTGAGCCCCCCGCGCAGACGGATTCGGTTAACTATAACTAAATTTGCGTAGATGTAATACAAATAGTACAAGCTGCTAACCGCGGCAGGGTACTTGATGTTGGAGGGGATGTCAAGGAAAGGATCAAAGTCTGGTTCCGGGCCCTCCGCAAGTCCTTCAAACTGGATCGCACCGACCTGCTGCAACAGCCATGCAAGAGGTGCATTCCCACGAGTCGTCGGTGCAATAGAAGCGTTTAATATGGGCAAGAAAAAAAAGTCCAGCTGCTTCTGTACGGTATCACACTCGATTGGCATACCAGAGGTGGGCGGTTGAAGAAAACAAAGGCTCAACACCCATCGAATACACATATAAGGGCCCATACCTTGCCTCTTCATGGTCTCGGCCAGTCCGCCAAGCTCGCGTGGGTGGGTGCCGTAGACCGGAATGGCAAACTCGGAGGCCTCGTGTGAATTCTGAACGCGCTCCATCAGACGTTTGTGCAGTCGTGAGCTGAGGGATCCGTCCACACTTACGAACGTGTGTCTGAGCTCCACGCCGAGGTTTTCCCGATCCCCGGAGTGCTCGGAGAGGTCCGGGACATTCAATCGGGGCTGCCAGCCAAGTCCCTCCACGCTCAGCTTCATCGGATCGCTCACCCCATACCGCTGGAAGAGCTCGCACAGCGTGAGGTTGGTGCCATCCAGCAGGCGAACCGACACCTCCATGCTTCGCTTGCATGTGTTCAGGATGTGGTCAAGCAGCTCCTGCGCGTCCACGCTGTTGGATAGGTCGACCGAGCAGTCCACCTTCATCACGTTAGCAAACACGCCACCTGCCTTCCGCAGGTGATGCCGCTCCTCGATTTCGGCGTTCATCAGGAAAAACATACGCGACCGCTCCTGCATGATACCAAGACGGTGGTTACAGGCCTGAATGCAGGACGAATGGTTCACCGTAAGACGCATTTGATGAGCATCCTGTGCAAACTGTTCCCATGTGCGGAGCTTCGGGCAGAACGTAGAGTCATGGTCGGAAATTTGATAGATACCCTTCTCCTGAGTGATGGAAACGTGGCTAGGGAGCGGAACCATCTCGCCAGGTGGGATTTGTTCGCCTGCCTTCTTATATAGGGATCGTACCCTCAAAGCTGCGTTGATCCGTTCATACACTTTGCTGAACTCCACCCCACCATCATCGCCATCAACCATGACCTTGATCATCTTAGATTCTTCCAGTTGATTATCCGGAAGCGCCTTTTGCGATGGCAGCAAATCGGCACTGTTTAAGGTGGTAGTGTGGTCGTTATAGGATCGTCTGGAGGAACGCCTCGAGGAAGCTTCGCCTGGCTCAATAGAATTTGAAAGAGGTCCGACAGTTTTTGGAACTGTGCCCTTCGTCATCTGCGAACTACAGAAGCTAGTGAATCTTTCATCTGATACAAGTAACGACGTATCAAGGTCGGGTGAAATATTATGATTTGGATCCATTAAAGTTTCTACTTGAGCTATAGATTGAGATTCTACTTCAGGAAGCAAAATGTTTCCCAAATGAACTGAGGTGAAGTAATCCATGAGAGTGTTATAAAGGACATCATTTTGAGAATTAAAAGCTTCTTTTCATCAGTAAATAACTTAGTTCCTGTCTTTTCATTGAACTGATAAGTTGTCCATCCTATAGCCCTCAAAAGCCATAAAAAAACAATAGCATAAAACTTCAGCGAAGAGAGACATGTAAAGAAAACAATGTTCGAAAAGTACCTAAGCATAATATTTCTCTATAAAGTTAAGAAGAAATAAAGTAACCATACAGTGGATAGCAAGAATCACAAGATGATGAAATCGAAAACTATTCCCAGAAAAACATCATCAGAGCCATAATGTCTAATGTTTCACGCAACATCTAAATATCTCGGTATATGTTTCGTCTATCACTTTCAATATTTGAAGAGATTTTGATAAAACGAAGGAAAGTAGAAAAAAAAATTACTGCGTGTAAAGTCCAGAGGATTGCTGCAATTAACAATAAAATAAATGGTATTGTTTTGCTAGTGTTCAAAATAGCAACGATCCATCCACATCCGCCCAAACCAGTAAGGCCAATCGCCATCCATATGTCGTAGACTGTACCAATCAGCAATCCAATAATCGCGGCTATTCGGCGAACTGTAGAGCCTTCTGCAAAGACCAAGTAAGTGCTATAATACCACACCATCCACGCCCCGGGCAAACCAACTAAATATATAAAGGAAAACCCAAAGTGCATCAAGCCACCCCCAAAGACTAGGTACACTGTTGCTGCCACAATATTGAAGAGAATGAGGGCGATCAAGGAGATGTACAAACCACAAACTGTGTACATAAAACGCTGGTAGTGCACAGGTATCTGAAGCTTAATACTGTGATATATCAAAGGCTTTATGCAGCAACACTCCGGTGGGAAATTAGGCGGCGGCTCCGTAATATTTGCCATGTTGCTCGAGCGCTGCATAAGTCTTTCCCGACGAGCATTATTTTCGGCCTCTTTAGCAGCCACCATTTCTTCAGTGAGCTCTGTGGAGGCCATTATTGAGATTACCCCTCAAAAAGAAACAATATTAACTAATGACGTGCAATGCTGATAAAAAAAAATTAGACTTCGATTACACAAAAAAAAAATTATCATAGTAGAATCGAGTATAGGGTAATTAAAAAATGACGAGCGATAAAATCGGATTCATACGTGTTATGTAAAGATTATTTCTCTCCTTCCTCCCACTTTACAAGAATATCAATAATATAAATTCATGCAATTTAAGAATAAGCCTAGGGTGCCGTTCACATTTAAGGAACTAAAAGAAATAAGAATACAAGCCTATTTGAAGTTACCCACTGGGTATCGCGCTGCCGCAACAATAAGCAGCGTCAGAGTGAAAGAGACCACAAAATCTCTGCTAGTACATTGGGTTGGAAAACTCAAAACTACAAAAGGTACGAGTAGCGTTACACACACAGCCGAGGAAGGCCGTGCTGCGGGCTGCACCAACGCCACCTCAGATACCACGAAAGTCACAAGGATAACTTGTATCAAAGATAGTACCAGACCTTCCAACCTACTTGGAAGAGTACAGAGACGAATACCCAACTCAAGAAAAATCCACAAGCCTAACAATGACAACACGCTTATGAGATTCTTTGTATTAGCCCGATTGGTCAAGTTATCGAATACCCCACACAAAAAGCGTAATGGGTTAGTGGAATCATTTGAGGTGCATACCGAATCGTATGCCGAGGAAGAGCTACTAAGAGAGGACGACGATTGCAGTTGAGGGTTTGATTCCTTTTGTGCTGACGTCATAAATGAAGTCTTGCTCACAGCCGGAGATAATGGTCGGAATTCCTTCTCATCTTCAATTAGTTTTGCGACTATAGACATCGTATCTACTGTATTCTGTGGTGATGCGACCTTGTTTACTAATTCACTGCTATCCGTGCTCTTCCACCCCACAAGCACGCCTGGACAGATCCACTTCACGTCCTTGCATTGCACAGTACAGAATGGAGTTGGCGCGGTGCCCACAAGCACCATCAGGAGGTCGCCCCAGTTCTTTTCCACGATGCCCAACACTCTTTTTTTTCCTCCATCAACAGATAGATTGACTTCCACGACATCACCTATGGCTATAACCATTCGGTAAAGAGAATAGAGGACAATTTCAATAATATATCCCTTTATAAAAATCTTCAATGAAATTATAAGAAGAGGAGAAAAAGAAAAGATACATCTAGATAATAAGCATGATCCGAAAACTAGTTGTATGACTTTAGCGTATGAAAATAAATAGACGCTTATGTATTCTTAGCTTCACTTCAGCGGCGAAAGAAATACGAAATGACGAGTAAATATTATATTGGCATTCTGTACCTGATATGAATAGGTAAATAGTTAGAATCTTAATAGAATACTTACGAGTTAATATGTAAATAATATATACTAGGCTCAACACATAACTAAAACATAACAGTGCCTCACTTTTGGCCTTCTTTGATTACCCTGTAACACCTGACTGACAGATAGAGGGACTTTCGAGAAGTGCTACCGCGTGTCCTTTCTTCATGGTTATACCTTATTTTGCGTGAAGACAACTTTTCTTTGTACCTTCTTATATTAGGAAAACATTTTTTTCAACCCGGCGGCAAGTTTCGCTTTTCGTGCCTTGATCACCTCTTTGGCCTGATTGAGCTTAGCCGTAATCTCCTGATTCTCGGGTTCAAGCGCTTGAGACTTAGCTAAATCCTCCGCAGCACTTTCGGCATCACCTGAGCTTAAAGCGGCAACGCCGCGACGAAAGAATGCCTTTGAGTTATTCTTGTCAATATCCAGAACCTCTGTTGCAGCCTTTCGCGCGGCTCCAAAGTTTCCCAGCTTGATAAAGCACATGGCCATGTTATTGGAGCACGCCACAAGCTTTTCCTTCACGTCCGCCTCCTCGGCGCGGGATTGCGACACCCCACGTAGGTAACGACTGGCCTTGCTATACTTCCCGACAGCGGCCTCGAAGTTGCCCTCCTTGAAGTGGTGGTTTCCAACTTGCCGGATGGCCTCCCCGGCCTCGATGAGCATCTCATCCTTAAGGCGAGGCTCGCAGTCCTCGGGGTAGTCCGGATACGCATCCCCGTCTGCGGCGGGCTCCTCGACGGGCAGGTCCGCCAGCACGCCGCAACCCTCGATCCGGCAGTCCTCTTTGGGCTTATCGTTCGCGCCGGTAGCGATGTGTTCGATCGCGCGGACGGAGTTCATCCCGCGCACGACGCGCCCAAACACGACGTGGCGCCCTGTTAAGTGCGGGCAAGGGGCGGCCGTGATGAAAAACTGCGACCCGTTCGTGTTGGGGCCGGCGTTCGCCATGGCCAGGAGGCCCGCCTTTTCGCACGCCACCTCGAAGTTTTCGTCTGGGAATTTCTCGCCGTAGATGGAGGCGCCGCCGGTGCCATTGTGGTTGGTGTAGTCACCGCCCTGAATCATAAACCCACTTATCACACGGTGGAAGATGGTGCCTTTGTATGTCATTGGGATATTGCTTCCTTCGAGAGTTTTGCCGTCATTTCCGAGGCACAACTTCCTGAAGTTTTCACATGTTTTAGGGGTCACATCATCGAAGAGTTCCATGATGATGCGCTCCTTCAGGGGCTTCCCCCCGATGGTAACATCAAACCAACAGTAGCCTTTGGACATTCGTTATGCTTTAAATAGATATAAACAGCGATTTCCTTTATGAGATGCAGTATAGGTGTCGTGTGGAACTGTGCAACTAAGGAATGCAGGACAAAAATGATAATAGTATTATATAGGATAGAAAATAAAGGGATTGATGCTGGTAATATTTTCATTCAAGACTTTAAAGATTCATGTTGGTTGACGATACATTTTGATCTCATTATTGGAATCAGCCAATCAGTAATATCTATATAAAAGAGTCGAGATACACATGTATAAACAAAAACTTATCCCTCAACTGATAAAAGGGCGAAAGACGCAAAAACACTATTTCTCGTCAAGGAAGATATGTTTTCTTCTTTTTATCATTGTCAAACGGAAAAAGTAACACAAAGATACACTAGGGGCCTTGACGATGACTTTCTATTTTAGACTATTAGAAATTGCGGCTACTCATTTATAGTTGATGAATGCAAATTATAAATCCCCAGAGGGGAGGCCAAGAGCATCGAATTCCCTTTATATGTCCATCCTACTGCCTTGATCGTGTATAAATTAATACGGATGCAAATTCGACGCGCATTAGGTAAGAAAAACAAATTCCTTGATTCCTCTCTAATGTGGTTGTACAAATTACAGAACAATTGTCGCTATACCTTCATCTTTTGCTTTCAGATAATGTTGATCGAATCCGTATCATTGATTTACTATAGTAAATAAATGATTTATAGCCTTTTAAAGAATTTCATTACCTCTATTCCGCAAGCGAATTTATATTTGCTAGAAACTGTATTGACGTAAATAATAGCAACAAACCGCTGTCAACATTGTACTAGCGGCTTCATACACACATTGGGTCAACAACAATTGAATAGGGCGTTGACGTGCAAGGTCGCGATGCATACTAATCATACTGAAAAGGACAACTGCAAACGCTATCACTTGATAATCCTGCAGTGTTGAGGCCTTGTAGGTCGAAACCAGCATGAGCACCACTGCTGAACGTGCTAGACAGCATAAAAATGTAGCTCCAGACACGAGTAGGGCGGAATAACGTTGGATGGCGTGTTCAGAACGCCGCACCCCCTTGTCAGCGGCATAGTAATAATGTTCGATATGATTGATGATCCACCCGAACCAAATGATGGCGAACATTTGCTGGACTATGGCACTTACTACCATGTAGAATGGATTTAGCTTAGCAACAGTGGAAGCTATGGCCTGCATAAGTGAAGGTAAGAATATTGTGGAACTTCAGGAGGTATTATATATGAAGAGGTTATAAGTGTCAACGGCTGGATGTGTATAATCTAATTCTAAGATGAGGAAAATGAATACCAAGAAAAAAATAAAGTATAAGATTACAAGCAATTAGAGGAACCACACAGTCAAATATCGGATGTGTAAGTAACTATGGAAGTAACAATACAGTGAAAGGAGAAAAGATTCAGAGTCATATACACCTTCTCACTTTTTTCTTGTCTACGTAAACCGCTTTTTTTTACATGAAAGTATTGAAGTGTATCCATGTAAATACTACACACTTGCAATGCATAAGCCAGTTTTAGGGTTTGAAATGTCTCTCGAAAAAAGACAAGAGACAAGGTAGAGATATCAGATCACGTATTGCTAAATAGATAACATTAACTACATCAGCTTGTATTATTCTGATTTTTGGATTCGGAAATTTTCTTAATCATTTCAATCAAATCGGCTGCATAGCAACGCTCCAGATCCATCCACAGGCGCATCCGGTACGCACTAGATGCCGGCATGCAAACCGAGGCATCTTGATCATATATGATTTTATGGCGCCCAACACAATCCGCACTTAATAGTGATTCCTCAGGAACGGATACCTCAATGTAATCTTTGTATTTGTCCCGCCTGATCGCATTCAAAAGGATGGCATTCAGCTCGGACTTATCTCGAATGGGAGCTTTAGTGCTGTGCGCATATAGATCGACCACACAACCTTTCTGTGTTGGCACCTGGTACGCATTACCACTAACCTTTCCCTTTAATTGTGGAAATAACTTGTTCAGAGTATATGCCCCCTCATGACGGTAGGAAGCGATGGAGTCCGGGGCAGCTGTAGTGTATCTCGCCTGACACCACTCTGTAAAAGCTAGGGAACGACCAGCACCAGAGTCCGGGGGGAGAGGTCCATGGATGGCTGTGTACACGATCTCATCGACACCCATATATTGCAATAGAATATCCACAAAAGATGCCAACACAGCTCCAATAAGATCACCACCACAAATAACTGGTAATTTTTTGTCCAACATATTCTCATTCACCATGATATGAATCAGTGCAGCGTCTACACTTTGTGCCGCGATTACAACGGTCGGAGCACCAACCGCGAGATGAGCCCAACAACGATCACGTGTCGTATAAACTCGGCTGCACTCAACCACGACGTCCACGTGCTGTTGCCCCCAACTCATCGAAGAGCATTCATGGGCGTTGGTGATCAGTATTTTGTATGTGCCATTGATCACAAGGTATTTCCCCTCCTCCGAAGTTACATTTGAAATAAGCGGGCACTCATGTCGGAGAAGGTAGCATATGTAGTCTAAACTAAAGAAAGGATCATTGATAGCCGTGACGACAACCGCTGGGTCTAGTAATGAAGCAGACAAAATAGCTCGTCCCAACTTGTTGAATCCGTTTATGCCAAGGCTTGCAGAGGTCATTCTATGTCGTTTGTTTCAGGAATATTGAGAAAGCAGCCTTGAAAAAAAAGTCCTACCAGATCCTTAAACTCCTTTAAATGAATGAAGCCATACAAATGAACAAGAAGAAAGATGTCAAATTATTACTAGTAATACGAGACAAAAATAAAATCAGCTCATCGAAAAAGGAAGATGTTGATAAAAACCTCCCTTTTTTTGATGGAGCAAATAAATCAGTGAATTTGGGCATAAATCACTCCACGTCAGGCTCGATAATTTTATCGTTTTGAGGATATCAACTAATGCATACACCCCACTTATACTGATTATTCCGATAATATACGAAAAAACGAATTTTGCCCCCCTCGATCGGCCGAGGAAGCATATACGATTGTGGAATTACCAGAACAATCCATCACATTTTTTTAAAGGAAAATAGCTTTTCACTTTTAATGAGATGTTAAGCGATTTTCGTATATGGAGAGAGGATCCTTACCCCCACCTCCAATCTCAAATATCTAAACCTCATCGAATAAGAATAATTGACAATATAAATGCCCAAACGGAAATTTTTAGTAACTACCAAATGTAGGTTTTCGTGTTATGCATATGTTAAAAATAACTCTTACGTCGATTTCAATAGGAACAAAACGAAAGAAATTATTCCTTTATGAACGCTTGGTACTCCTCAATATTCATAAGGCCCTCGGGTAATTCATCGCACTTCAGTTTCACGAGCCAGCCCTTTTCCTCAGGCGACTTATTAACTAGGTCGGGTTCGTTCATAAGAGTCTCATTCACTGCAGAAACGGTCCCATCCACCGGTGAGTACACACTGCTTGTTGCTTTGATGCTTTCAATCTCGCCGATGACCTCTCTTGCTGCAACCTTATCACCTACTTGGGGCATGGACACGTATACCACATCACCCAAGTTTTCTTGAGCGTAGTCAGAAACACCAACAGTGGCTTCTCCACCCTCATGCGCCACCCATTCGTGGCTATCAGTGTACATGCGTGTGGCATAACTACGAAGAAAAATCGCGCCGAGGAGGGAAGGCCTTGCACAAAATCGCTTCAACATATTCGTAATACACTTTATTCCTTAGAATTTGAGATTGATTTAAATTCAAAAGTATTTATCGATTTTTTAGTGTTGTTTTCTAGTTGGTCCTTTTTATGTGGAACACAAAGCAGCAGGCAGCAAATGGAATGTGAAGAAAACTTTAAAAAGACTCATGTTTCCCTGTCGAGACGAAAGGTAAATTCATCGCCCGTCAGAAATATGAGCAAGGAACAGTGGCAATGAAAAGGGTGTCATCAGATTTGTTAATAATATATGAAAAGAACAAAACTGTGATTGTTTAAAAAAAAATGTGAAAACAATACAAGTTAAAGAAGCCCAAACATTAACTCCAAATTATTGCAACATTCATCAGTCGTATTTTATCGCATAGCAAACGATATCATTAGCCTCAAAGATCTTCTGGATCTTTAGTATAATTGATGTTTGGTACTATGGGATCACTAGCAGCTCGAGGGGGCTCAGGTTTCTCTGTGACATTGTGCACCAGCACCTTTAATGCAGACAGTTGAGCATTATAATCTTCCGCTTTACATGTATCCATGCTACCATGACCACTTTCAAGCCAATCGTAGACAGTGGTTAAAGTTTCGCTAAGCCTTTCTAGGGCTACCTTATGAATTTGACGATCGATATCATTGTTCTCTAAGACGCCTTCACCTCTTGCCCATAAAATATACTCCTCCAAATTATTTTTAGCTAAAGCAGCAGCATGTTTCCGCTCCTCATTGGTCTTGATGTCATACAGTTTTCCAATCGAAGTTAATGTTTCACCATCAGTTAACCCGCGTGGGTGAAGCCATGCAAGAGACACGTCAAGGGGGGAGGAACGATGTCGCATTTGTATCGAGAATACTCTTTTCGACTCTATTATTTTATCTCCGCTTGCGTCGGTTACATTTTCAAACACAATTTGCGATACATTAGTCGCATATTTTACAATGGCATCAGCCTTCTCGATCTCAATAAGTCCAGATTCATTCACTTTCAGCTGGATACGCACCGCGTGCGAGTTATTGGGATGAACTAATGCGGGCTTATTGAATTTTAATTTATCTAACGCCGTTTTCACCCCATTTACATGAATTTTACCAAACACATCAGAAGACGAGTTAGAGTTTAAAAGAGTGATCGTGAAATCCTCAATACGTTTCAAAGTAATGCTTACTGCGCTTCCTATTGTGGCATTATTTTCAAAAAGTGTCCTATATAGAAGTGGAACCTTTTTATTAACCCGCGGTTCTACGAAAAAATATATAGGATAAGGAACCTGCTGAACAAGTTTGAGCGACTTTGAGCGATAAAAAGGAGTAAGCTTGACGGCATAATAAGCGGCTCCTAGGGCAGCAGCTTCATCCATATTCAGGGTGCGATCCACACTGCGCCCAATTACAGATGACAAATCTGAAAGAATTTTCGGCGTGCGCGCTACTCCCCCCATCATTTCGAACGCATGAATTTTGGAAACTTTGTGGTCAGCTAGAGCGATAACATCCAACGCTAATTTTTTAACACGGTCAAATAAGTTGCTGCATTTTTCTTCAAAAGATTCGCGGGCGATAGACGATGAAAAATCTTTATCAGGTGCAATGTTTTCTACTGTATATGGAACTTGTGTATTTACAGATAGTGTCTCTCTTGCTTTGTTTGCTGCACGAAGTAAAGAAAAACGCGACCTCATCTGCCCTTGACTTTTATCTGAGATGATAGGTCCAATGCTCAACTTTTTTCTTGCCTCCTCTTCAATTATTTCTGCTAAGCACAAATCAAATGCATGACTGCCTAACGTTGGGTCTTCTAAAATTGCAACAGTAGTAAGTGTTCCAAAGGAATCTGAAAAGGCTCCCGCCTTCTCGCATGGAGAGAAAGTAAATATCCCAGCTTCTGTGTGGGTAGCGCCGATATCAAACACGACGATGCTTCGCGTTTGATTGCCGAACCCACGATGACGTACGCCATAATAAAATGCTGCTGCTGTAGTGGGGTGTATAAGCCCCAAGACATTAAGACTCGAGAATTGGGCTGCATCTATGATGGCTCTTCTACCTGCTACTGGTGTGTTAAATGGTATAGTTATTACGATACCCTTTGGATCAACTATGCCATCATTTACAGATATTTTGTGTAAGTATGATAGCATCATTGAGTAGAGTTCCTCTCCGGAAAATGGTCCATGCTTATCGTTTATTTGAATTTCTGGACTTCCACGCTTAGAAAAGTCGATATGGTTTTGGTAAAGAATTTTTTTTATGTTCTCAAATTTCTCAGAATCTTTCTGCAAACCCATTAAAAGGTTTATTGCGCTTACTGTCAGCCAAGGAAAGCGAGCCGCAAGTTTTTTGGCTGGATCACCGATGAAACGTTCACTGTTTCTAAATGCTATAACATTTTCGGTTTTCCGTCGTGAAAACTCATTGAGAACAATATCAATGCTCTGCTCCCCATGAGGTCCAGCCACTTTAATAAACTCTGATCCAAAATCAACCCCTATAGTGTGACCCCATACCGTTGTTACTGCAAAGAGTAATAACAGAAGTGGGTAGAGAAATACTTTTTCTTTTCGGAAGGAAATCATATTGACGCTAAGGTAAAGAAAAAAAAGAAACAAATAAATATTTATATGAATAAATATAATTTCATCATTTTAAAAAAGTTGCAGTATATGAGAGAAAGAAAGTTTTATTATTTTTTTAGGTTCATAGACAAATCTGTATAACAATACAAATATCTTAAGAAAAAAATCTAGTGAATTTTTTTTAGTAAAAAAGATGAGATAGAAAAAAGGTGTGATTAAACTAGCTAGCGCAACGAGGACCTCGAGACATTCGTTTGGCTTCTGTCATGACCTTTCGGCCCTTTGTACGCGCATCCACTATTCTCTTCCAAATGGCTGTGTAGATCATTTTAGCCTTTTTCCCAGGGATGGAAGGATGAGTTTCAGCAACACGACGGAGAAACTCACCCTCCGGTAGATGTACCAGAGTACTTCCATCGCCTTCGGGCAAAATTTCCTCCGGCATCGTTATCAACCCTTTCGATATTTGTATAAGAAATTTTAAGGTTTGAGGACGGTCAAATCCATTTGGATCATTGGAATCAATAGCCACCACTTTGGCAGGAGGAGTGACAGCAAGAAGAGAAGCGTAACGAAGAGTATTAATTGTGTGTCGAGAATCGCGAAGAAGTGGTGAAACACATGCAATCATAACTGTTTTGGTGGGGCGCCGAACCGCAATCTCGAAGCAGTCCCTGAGCAAAAGTGTTAAAGGAGATCGCCTATAAGGAATGTGCAGATGCTGCGAACTAGTTGAAGCAAGCGCCCTAGAACGAATGCAATCTTTTAATGTCATCAGAGAGGTATTAATAAATTTAGTCTCAGCTTGCCGAGCTTTATCGTGGGTGGCGCTATCCGCCGTATTTTCACTTCCTGCAAGATCAACTAAAAAAAGATCTCCAGGCCTGGCCCACCGTGACTCCTTTGATACAATTGATATGCGAGCAACCATATGGGTCCGAGATGATGTCTCATTTCGACCTGTTGATTTTGTTGAACGCAACGAAACTGCCTCCTCAAATGCTGCGAGCAGCATCTCAGCACTTGAACATTCAAAACCCTCGGTCCCCAACAGTTTTAAATCACCAGAAACATCCTCAGCAACTTGAACGTCATTTCCAGTGAGAAGATCTATATTTTTACCTGCCTGTATTTCGAGGACTGTCAATAGAATATCGTGTGTTGCAAAAAATGGACTTAGATCCTCTGAAATATATTTAAAAATGCCCGTTATGGTATAGGTTTTGCCACTTCCAGTCTGTCCGTAGCACATAATGCATGTGGACGCACCCTCGACAGAAAAACAAACTAAAGGAGCACATGATTCTACATAAACTTTCTCGGTATTGTCCGCTGCCCCAACAAAAACGCCATCAAGATTAACTACACAGGGATCAATAGTACATGAACCGGAAAGAGAAATTTTTGGACACATTAGCACGAGATCTCGGTAATTATCAACTTTTTGTACGATACTCATATTATTGGGACTCTGCTTATCAAATTCGATAATAGGACGTGCACGAACAAATATGCGAGAATCTTGTTGTGTAAAAAGCTCCTCAGGGCAAACAACAGATCTTAATTTCTTCGCTGTGCTCGTTGGAATCTTTGTATCATTAAGAAGCATCTGAAACTCCTCAGACTTCGCGCCAAGCTCAGCGACTAAGGGAATACTCGGCATTTTTTGTACTTTTGTATATGTATAAAAAGAGAAAAACTACGAGGAAAAAAAAATATTCAACAACATATGTATGCAGAGGCTTAGATTATGATAAAAGTATCACCGCATGAGATCAATTTTTTCTTTGTATTTTGTTTAGGGATTCGAAGATACGAAACAAACAGAGAACTACAGTAAAAATAAAATTACCCGCTGAGGATACAGGACTCAGTCTTACAAAACAAAAAGAGTGAAATAACTCCTGCTAATCCGGTGGACTCTATCTTTGTTAAGAAATCACAGAGTTATTTTTAAAAAAAATCGCTTTTGTTCGTCGACAGCAACCATGCCACCAGGCAAAGCGCCGCCTTTTAAATATAATTCTAGAACAATAACACGCCCAGAATTATAAGCACCCAATTTAGACATAAATACATTTGTTTAGAAGCATGGGATAAATATTTTACGGGACCCCCAGGGGTGAAAGACCAGCCCCCCGAAAACCACAGACCACGAGGACCAGGACGCATGAAACAAGCGTTCCACCAATAAGAAAATGCCGAAACCATGTGAAACCACGACATTCCCATTCACGGTGGCTT